AGCTGATTTGGAAAAAGCCCTGGAACACAGGGAATTGTTCTCTCACAAAAGCTGCTGCCTCACTTTCCTCCCCACTTTAGTCCTTCTTTTCACTCAAAACTATCTTTGAACACCTGGCGATGTCTGATGGTCAGCACCTGCACCAACCTAAGTAATTACAGACCAGCTGCACCTGTGCAGCCACAGCCTGCCCCTCAAACCTGTTGCTTTGGATTACCCACAGGGACAGACTGGGAAAACATAGCAGCTTCTTTTTCTCTGAGGTCCTGAAATCAGAATTTTGTGAAAAAGGCTTCAGGAAACAGGCAGAAGTGTCCAGGATCGAGACACCATCACCCTTGGTAATCCAGAGGCTGAAACACAAGGCCACCTCTGATTCACTAACCACACTCTGTTTTATTTCAGTTTTTTTCTTTCTAAGCTATCCTCAGAGAGCATGAAGATGCTGGCAGGCAGGAAAAAAGTTTTCTGATAATATTTCTTTCTGATACAGCACATTTCCCACAGATAATCATTCTATAAAGCTCACCAAATCTAATACATGCCAAGGCACACCACCACCTATTTTAACTGCCGATACAGGAACCTCAGTCACCCCATTCCAACCACAACAAATAGAAGTCCACTTACTTGCCAGTTTTAAGTCTCTCCAGGCAAGTCAGTCTAGAAGAGCAGTCTCAGGAACTCCAGAGCTGTTGTTATCCAGTAAATTTAATATCCAATGCAACAGATTACCCTGTCCAATTTGGCAGAAGCACTCCTAAACCCTCACCACACTGACAATCACTTTAGACTAAAAAACCGTTACGAGCTCCCTGAGCCACACCTGATCCTAATCAGGACTGACTTGAACACCTGTGTGAATTCCCACGCCTGCTTCTGCAGCCTATACTAGACATTACTAATTCTTCTTTCCATTCCTTTCATACATAATGTTGCAATTACCAGTGCTAGGTCAGGAACTGACAATGCTCACTTTATTTTGAGCTCAAGATCTGTATTTCTCCCCCCTGCTCTTTCTGTGTGCAGGTTCCCTGCAACACAGCAACCTTGCAGCACCTAAGGGGCTCACAGGAGGGATGGGAAGGGAACTGGGACAAGGGCCTGGACTCACAGGACACAAGGAATGGCTTCACACTTCCAGAGGGCAAGATTAGATGGGATAGTGGGAAGAAATTCTCAGCTGTGAGGGTGCTGAGGCCCTGGCACAGGTGCCCAGAGAAGCTGTGGCTGCCCCATCCCTGGGGGTGTCTCAGGCCACGCTGGACAGAGCCTGGGGCAGCCTGGGAGAGCGGAAGACATCCCTGCCCATGAGGGTGGAAGGAGATGATTTTTTAGGGCCCTTCCCACCCAGACCTGCAGCGCTGCCATTCAAACAAGCAGCAGTCAATGACAGCTGGCTGCAGCAAGCCCAGGGCACCGCGAGCCCTGTCCCCGCTGCCCCGGGCCTGGCTGCTGGCGCTGGGCTCGAGGAGGAACAGGGGCAGGGCACAGCGGCCTCAGCAGAGCCACCTCAGCCCGGGCACAGACTGCGCTAGGGACTGACAGAGGGCACCTCACCAAAGTCTCCTCAAGTTCTCAGAAGCGGATTGAAACAGAATTTTTACTTGCAGAAACAAAAGATTAATAAAGCTGCTTATCTTCATGTGTGGCTCAGGGGACTAACAGAGCTGGAAGTGCGCCCTCCAAGCCACCCTAGGGCATCCTTTGTACACTGGTGTGCCCAGCACACCTGCCTGCAGAGCCAGCAGGACAAGGAGAGTCACCCTGAGGGACTGGTAAATACAAGGTTTTTGTGTTAGCCTTTTGTTTGCAGCAAAATTGCTTAAATTCTGCTCACAACTATTTTGCTGGGGAAGAAGCAATGTCATGGAGAGTACATTGTCAGCCAGACCTTACTCTCCTAATCTGAAGATAATTCCCAACCCCTCTCTGTCAGAGGGTGAACGGTTACAGGAAATGCCAGGGTGATCCAGAACTGATGTAATGAGTTTGATGATTGGGAAACTCAAATCAATTTCGTTTACTGATCCCCAGCAGAAATCAGAAGAGATCATGGCTTCCAGGTTAAAGACCTTTGCTCAACTTTCTGCTGCTCTGAGTTAATCTTTCTCCACCCAGCCATCGGAGTGACCAGCACAGGTAATCTTTAACCAGTGGCCATTGACTGACAAGGATCACAGCATTTCTCCTCTGGGATCTGAGCTGTCCCAGCACTTGTAGCCCTTACCTCTGTCCATGAGAGTGTGGTAAATATGCCCTTTGAATGCTGCAGTACTCTGGGATAAGTTGATAAACACCACCTTTGCCTCCTCTGAGCCCAAGAATTCCTGTAGCAATGTCCTCTCAAAAATTAAATGGCCATATCCAAAAGTGATGTGAGTCAGCACAGTCGCTGACATTCAGAAAGCAAAGGGATAAATTCAGTTCCACTGTTGGATATGTGTAATTTTTCTCCATAAAAGATTCTGGCCTAAATCTTTGAATCTGGAATTTTAAGACAAGTGAGCCATGCCCACTGCTGGTAGGACAGTGGCAGGATTTTTCCAAAGATGGAAATAGCCAGCCCCGGATCAGTTGAAGAGTATTATGTGCTGGAGTAAAGCCACAAGATACAGCTCAGGTTTTTGTCCCTGCAGTTATTCCTTCAGCTTTGAAGTCATTCTTCCACTGTTTCTGCACAGAAAAGACACCATCCCTGTGATTTCCATTTCCCTCAACATATCTTTCATATTGTATATAAGATAAATGAGAGGGAAAGGCTTTTTTAGGGATCAAATTTTGTCCTTTGTCTAGTGACATCTTACTCACCAGGAACTCTGCATATAACATGGAAGCACAGAATCATTTAGGCTGGAAGGGACTTTTGGAGATCACAGGAGTCAGTCCTCTGCTCTGAGCAGTGCCAGCCTCACGGTTAGACTGCACTTCAAAGTTAGATGATTTTGCTTGGGGTCATAGGTATGTATTTCCAAGGGAAGAATCTGGCCCTCAGGTCTGTGTGCAATGTATATTGCATTATCTGCCCCTGTGTCACCTTTAGTAACATTTAAACAAACCAGTTCCTTTTCTTTTTCCAGGAATTTCCCAATACTTTGGCATTTCATTTCAGAGAACTGGACCCCAACCAGTCTGCAGCAGTGCTGGATGTTGCAATGCAGTTCCAGACTTTCCCCAGGCTCCCTGTGGAGTAACCAGTGCTTCACCTACAGTTGCAGAGACCCATTTTGAGGGAAACTGGATTTTTTTTCCCCAGAAATACAACTCACAGACACCAAATAAGTGATGTTTCTGCTGTGATTAAAAGTAGCACTTTTTAGGTTTTTTTCTGCTGGTTTTGAACAACATGTGGCATTTTGGTTTTGGGTTGGTTGCTTTCTTTTTAATATGAGGTCTTCCTGACCTAATACTGTCCTCTTTTATTCTGATTAAGCATATTGTCATATATCTTCTGTAGACTTCAAATGCACATCTGTACTTTCAGAGCAGGTCCGAGTAGCATAAGGAGTTTGCACACAGGATGCTGATATAATTTTACAGGTAATTTTTAGGTACCTGCTTTCCCCAAAACATGTTCTACGACTAGGGCAGACTCTGAACAAGTAGTAGTATTTTTGTCATCTTTACACTGTGTGCATGTACCAGCCCCAAACAAGGAATTACTATTTACATAACAGGACTGGGATTAGGAATCAGCCTTTTAGGAAACCATAGATTATTCTTGCCATGACAGATTTGCAGTCCAAGACAGATTTAAGCAAAAAAGATGTGTAACCAAGAGGGTGTAAGGAGGAGAGGTTAAGACACAGAATGTTTTCCAAATTTGATTTCATGGTGGTTTTCTGCTGCTGGACGGAACATTAACCAAAATCAGTAAAATTACCTGGTTCCTCACTTTTGTGAAGTATTTATACTGAAAATTGCTTCCTAAACCCCCAAACTATTACTTCAGACTTTTCCAAAACGTTCTAATAGAACACAAATGGTAATGGAAGTAAGTGATGAAACAACTGTTAGTTAACTACCAAATGTTCTCATACCCAAAACGTGACTTTATTTTATGTTCAGAGAAGATCTCAGGTTCAAATCCTATTTTGGCCTAAAAAGTGAAATTCATCAGGCCCTAAACTGGAGATTTATGCAATGGTCTCTTTGTTGGATGAGGTCCTGGGAGGTGTGTACCACCCCTGGGTTTGCCAGTGCTGTTCAGACAGGCTCAACTGAAGCCAGGCTTTTCCCCCTACCTCCCAAGTGTGCTGGAAAAACTAAAACCTGAAAATTACTAGGCAAAGCAGACAGTACCTCAAAATTTAAGAAAGAAAAAAGATTGGCAAGCCTCAGCAGTGAACATGAGATGAGCACTGAGAAACTGATGAAATCAGTCTCACTGGCAGAAGTAGGCAATTAATATGCAGCCAGGGTAAACACTCTTCATCTCAGGGTTCAGCAAAACAAAGAGCTGAAACCCCCTTATCTTTTGCATTTTTCCCTCCCCACAAGTGCTCTCTGAAGGAACAGAGAAAATTGAAGTCTCTGAGCTTTTTTCCATTCTGTAGTCTGACTAAAGGTGACTCCGGCTCAGTGCAGCAAGGGTCATCTCCCTCCCCCAGATCAATATTTTAATATGACTTATCAGAACTAGAATGAATTGTTTACTTTAAAACCTCAGGATCCCATAAAGGGAGAGGGAAAGGTGTCCACTGGAAGCAGAGGCTTGCAGCAGCTGCCCACTGCTGGGAACTCAGAAAAGAAACCACGACTCCAAAGATTCAAGTACAGACAGTCAGCAAACGTCCAGCGAGAGAATCCCAGTTCTGCCAAGCCCTAACAACACACCAGAGGATCCTTTGGCTGTTGTCTCCGATGGTAAGTGCCTCCCTGAGCAAAATTCATGTGAGGAAAAGGAAATGCTAAAAGAGATTAACAAAAATAAAATAGTGCAGGTGGATTTCCAACACTAAGCACTTTGGCATACTAAAATATCCACACATACCCAGGGCTCAACTGTGTAATTTAACAGGATTTAATGTCTTGGACCTAGTGATCTCTACCTGCACTTGGAAAGAGATTAGGCTTTTGTTAGGGTAGTGTAAGCCACCCTGTTTATTGTTTTTAAGAAGTGGGGTGCTGGGGAAGCGGACAGACTTTCTGGGGGACCAGGAACGCTTCCAGGTCTGGCCATGTGGGAAGGACAGTTTCTGTGACCCATCTCAAAAAACCCTCTTGAAAACACATTTGTTCTTCACAATGCCCTCTGCATTGGAACATCCCAATGTTGTTCTTTACACAGATGCCCGGCAGAAGAGAAGCAAAAGGGGGATTTTTTTCTGATGTTTATGCTTTGTTTTCTCCCTGTAACTTTCCTATTATTTTTGGAGTTTTTCCCCTTGCAGTACTAAAAACTCATGGCCATTTCTCTTTCTTGCATGCTATTTTGTCTTGGAAGTATTCCTATTGATTTGCTGGAAGCTTCCACGTAGCTGAGGGACTAAAAATTGCTTATTTGCAGTGGCATCAGCTGCTTTGCTTTCTCCTTACATGTTCTGCAGTGAAGTCAAGTCCTTCTGCCTGGATTTCTGGGCTTTCCTGCTCTGCACAGGATTGCCAACCTTTTCCTCAGGGAGCTTAATTAGTAGGAATTTGCATGATCCTTCCCCTCTGCTGCAGAGAGTAGGCTGAGTAAAATGTGTTTGAGGAAAGGGAAGGCACCAACAGTGAGGTACAGCACCTCTGTCCCTTTGGCAGTATTCACCTCAAACCAATTCAGGATCTCGTGTCCCGCCTCCTTGTGAGGACCCTGATGTGCCACTTCTAAATATTCACAAACCTGGTCTTGTGTCTGTTTTGCAGGTCTTTGAAACCCCCTCTGCTGAAGTCTGCAGCGTGCCTCCAACACTCCTTGCCCAGGCTAAGGACCTGCTCCCAGAGCTGTGGAGTGTGACAATGGTGTTTGTGTCCAGTCTATCAAACGCCATTATCACACTAAATAGTTCCTGGCAGACAAGGCATCGGGTGAGGAAGGTTTGGGACCTCTGGCAGTCCATCTTCCCACTGGGCTGAGGAATAAATGCACAGGAGGACGACTCCACTCCTTCTTTTAGAGGCCAAAGCACCAGAATATGGGAGAAATCCATATCTCACACATGCACTTCCAGATCCCCACTGTAAAGCACACCAGACTTCTTAAGGAATCATCATTATACTGTCATCATTAGGAATGTGGATTTCCTTGGCATTAATAGGGCTGTGTTTCCCTCTGAGAGGTCAGCATGTGATTTTCATTGAACTGACCAGGACAATAAAGCCGAAGGCAATTAGCCAATAGAGTGAAACTCCATCTCTGACTTTGGGACCAAATTACAACATACATTTGGAATATTAATTGGCTGAGATGCTCATGGCATTTTTCAAACAGAACACTTCCCAAAATTCTGATAAAATTCTATTGCCTCTAACTTGAAACACCATTTATCCAATGCTTTCAGCTTTGTTCCCATCCCACCATGCTCAAGCCCCTTGCCTTATGTTCTAAACCTCCTGTTTTGCAAACAGTCACAGTGTCCTCACAGAAATTCTTCTGAATGCTATTGTAAAGAATAGGCATCATCTGTAGGAACTTCCAAAAGCCAGGTACCAGCAGTGCACTGAGAAGCCTCAATCCCACTGAACAGTCCAAGATTTGTTATGCTCTGATTTGCAATGGAAGTGGTAACTTTAATAATCATCAGCGTGTTCCAAACTTCACCTTTCCTGACTTCTAGTTCTAAATAACCCAGCATGCATATGCATATGCAATACTGTGCAAATCTTGTACTTGGCATCTTAAATATATTGATGTTTCCATAGCAGCTGTACCACAGGGCCATGGATGTAGACACAGAGATGTTCTTCTCCAATGCCAGTTTACAGAAGCCTGTAAGGAAATCCAGGAGATGGCATAGTTTGTTTCCAAAACCTTGTCCCAGTGTTAAATCTCAGGCACCAAGAGCAGAGGATCAGCTTCTTCCTTGGTTGCTGGCATCAGCATCAGGATGATTCCAAAACAATGTCAAAAGGCAAAAGACCAAAGTTATCCCCTCAAGTCACTGGTGCATATCACTGTCCTCAAGAGTAATTTCATAAGTGGGATAGTGAGACTCAGTGCTCTGAAGTAATGAAGTCTCTAGGTTCTCTTGCCTTCTTGGGCACCATTTTCTTTACTGTTGATGAGTTTGGCAGATTTTTGCTTTTAGTGGGTGTTGCTTTCCTCTGTTTTTGATGAGTGGTTCGGAGAGATTTCAGCCCCAGCATCTCACAGTACTCATTGCACTGGTGAAGGGCTCTGAACTGCTCAATGAAGGAAAAGGAGCAGTTGCCTTTAAACCCCTTGTATCTGTAGCAACAAAGGGAAAACAAAACAAAACAAAAAAAAAAAAACAACAAACCAAATGGGAATTCAAGATTCATTTTCAGCTCAGGGAGGCAGAGCATGACTGCTGACTCATAAGCAACTTGAAAGCAATAAGCAAGTCTCTTCTACCCATGCTGGCTTGAGAAGCATCGACTGCCACAGAAACTCAGACTGGGTCATTGGGAGGTGAGAGGAACCAGACAACAAATGGTGACACAAGAGGGAAAAGCATTAGAGGCAAAGCTCTGTGGGCTGGGTCCTGGCACTGTCTTTCATGGCATTAAACTGGGAATAAAACTGCCTGCTGGCTACCTTTCTCAGTAACATACACACAGAAAATCCATGCTACATCATTCTCCATGAACAGTTCTGGTGGCCGCCATGAAAAAACAAGGTTGCTGCACAAGGTGTTTCAGAACTAGAAGCTGTTTCCATCTAAACATGTACATCATTTCCAGGCTATGCTGCTCCCCTCCCCGGCTGCCTACAGGATGCCAAGGAGCCACGCCCCTCAGGGAGGATGGAAGGAATGTTCCTGAGAAGGCAGTTTCATCCAGCCCCCACTGTACCTCCCACCATGAGAGGCACATGTATCCCTCCTCTCTTCACCCTGCTCTGGATGCTGACAGTCCTCCCCAGGGCCTGCTTTTTAAGCTGCATCAGATTATTTTAAAAGGTGTACCTGCTCTTCAAAGGAACCTTTTTGGTTAAATTCTCAGGATGGAGAAGGAAAAAGAAAGGCCAGGGGGCTCCTCTCCTTTTTTAACCTTAATCAGTGCCTGTTTTACCCTGTTTCCATTCGCCAGAGAGGCTACAGAGCAGCACTGTGGCCGCATTAAAAATGCTTCCCTGGCGCCCTCTCCTGGCAGAACTGCAGTGCAGCTCCTGCAGCACATTCACCACACCACTGCTCTGGGCTCCTCTGCTTTCCAGCTCCCTGGCAAAACACACACAGCGAGGACAAAAGATCAAACTTCCTTCCTCCACACATGGTGCACTCTGTTTTGGAGAACAGAAGAGATATGTTCTGTGTCCCCTCTGCCAGCACAGTGCAAGCCACAGCAGTCCCGCTCTGCATTTCTGGCGCAGTAGAACCATGTGTTCCCCCTTCATGGGACCAGGTTAGCTCTCAGCAGCTCGGCCGAGCACACCCAAAGCAGCGAGACCCAGCAACACACAGGAGTTCTAGGCACTGAGTTGATTTTCCCCACCCACGTTCACAGAATTAAAAATCCAACTGCTGACATTAATACAGAGATCTTCTTTCCAGGGAAGGAGCATGCAAACAAAATACAGGACCAGGAAAAATCTGTCATCTTGCAGGAATACCATTAGCTAAATATCAAACAAAATTATACTCAACATTTTCAGGAGGTTGTTCATTTAGGGAAATTGTTTTCCTTTCTATATGCCTGAGGTGATCCTTACTACAGCTTGCATTGTGTGCTCACTTCCTCCTCCCCAACACAATGTGTGTTTTTATAGGAATCATTTCCCACAGTGAGCTGGACAACATTCACTGAAGCATTTTTATAAATCTTCTGATTCCTGAGAATGGTGTTGCCTAAATAAAGCATTTATTACTCTTTTGGTTTGTAACAGGATCATGTACATTCATTTCAACTTTGATTTTACTTTGGATCTACAGGTGCAAGAGTAAATCAGTAAATCAGTCTAATTGAATGGATGCCAGCCTGCAGATGTTCAAGATTCTCCCAGAATATTCTAGAGTCACATTTTTAATAATGGTATTGTATTGTATTATATTATATAATATAATATAAATAACACTGTAATAATTTAGATGATATTGTGAGGTACACAGACAAGGTCTTTAGAACAAAGGCTGAACACATGATGAGATCTTCTTTCTCCTGCCAGATTCTCAAAGGAGAATATGAAATTAAAGCACTTACCCCCATCCCCTTTCCCTGTCCAGCAGCCACTGCCTACTCCTATCCACAGCTCTGCTGGCCTGTGTTATAACTAGAAGCCTTAATTAACTTAAGAGAAGTGGATTAAAGTTAAAATATTACAGGTCTACATCTTTACACATAAACTGAAGTTTCCCCAAAGGAGCTGAAGCCTTTGCAGCTAGAAAACAGGCTCTAGCAATGCCCTAAATAATCTTTTTTCAAGGCTCAGAACTGCTGTTTTTGAGAGAGAAAGGGGAGAGATACCATCAAATCCCTTCACAATTGTCCTTGTTTATCAGGGAAGTGGCCAAAACACAGCATCCCACTGAGAAGAGTCTTTATAAAAGCTAGTGTCACAAATACATATCCCAAAGTTGTGGCACTTTTGCTGGCTGCAGGAGTGATTCTGGGGTGCCTTTTACCCCGGACTGCAGCCAGTGCTGGCCCTGTGTGTTCAGCCCTACCTTCCTCCAGCTGATGGATCTCCAGGAGCCTTACCTGCTGTCACCAGAGCCCTTCGTGTCACTTGTGAAGCCCGGTTCAAGGGAGGCATGCAGGAAAAACAAAGCTCAATCTACAGGGTAGCCCCATTCTTTCATAACAAAATAAAAGTGTTTCCTTTACAGGCGTGTTTTCCATAAATATGAATGTGAAGAAGTTAAAACACTTAGATAAGGACTGTTTTCTTCTAAAGTTAAAGCAAGAATGAATTTCCAGTGCACCCCCCCCCACCCACATTTAACTGTGAAGAGTCAGAGGAGTAAAGCACAAGCATGCTGCTGAGAAATCACGTTCACTCACCCTTTGGCCAGGGTTGCTATGCCAACATCTGTTAACTTCATCCCTACACCTGCAAGGCAGCAAGGAAAACAGAGTTTAGCTTATACTGGAATTTCTAGGACAATGTTCACATATGGAGGCGTTAAATATTATTTATTGAGTCACATTTTTCACTTTAATGATTTGTCACATTTTTTTCAAAGCATTTTAAAGCACCCCAGTCAAGAAGAGGATGTTCTCTGTGTCACCAGCAGTTTCTACAAGTCAGGCTCGTGCCACTATTTTACAGCTGTCAGGGTGATCAACAGCACAGCTTGTTTCCTGTGCTAGGATTTTGTTCTTTCTCCTTCCTTTAAATTACTTCAGGGATCTTGTTTAGATGCCTTTTTGTTATTTTTTCTGCCTTCACATGTAAAAGAATATAGGATGTTTCCTAGGATTCCAGCTTTTTCTGGTTTTCTTCCCCTGTTCCAAATATATTGCAGGACTGAAGAGGAGTCACACCCATGGGAGCTGAGGTAACACTTAGCAAACATGAGGGTGTTTCTTCATTATTATTTTTGAAGGAATATATTTCTTCAAAACTAGCCAGGACCAAACATGGAGCATTCCACTGTTGAGTGATTGTTGGTGAGTATTCAAATACAAGCAAAGAAAGGGGAAGGACTAGGGGTTATTAACACCTGAAGTCTTTCACTCAGCAGCTATTTCATTTATCTCTGGTTGGTGAGAGAAAAATGCAGATTTGGCTCATACTGAGTGTCCAGATTCACTAAGGTACATGCAAAAGAACAACTCCTCCATTAAGAGTGTAAGATTTAGTTTCCTTTTCCAAACTGCCCTCTTACAAGAACATAAGCTTGATAAAAATTGCTCCTACTCAGACAACTCACCTTGCAGGTCAGTGACAAGCAAGTTCCCATTGGTCTTCTCATACACCCAGTGCTGAAAGGTGCAACACTTCTGGCCAGCCTCTGAGTCTCTTCTCAGGAAATTCACTTCCTTGCCATCCTTGACAGAGTATTTCACAAACTCCCCAACCAGCTCCTCCTCCACTGTGGCATAGGGGATGTTATTAGCAGGGCGATGAATAAGAAAAATCTGAATGATTCTGAAATTAAGCGATAGAAACTAATAAAATCCTGAGAATTCTTTCAGTAAAAGGGTAAGAAACAGACAAAAGTGGCCAGTGATCTCAGAGAGTGAGTGAACAGGCACCAACTCTAAACCAAGCTGAAAGAGCTGTAACACTGGTCCCAGGTTTCCTCTTTCCTCTTTAGTCCTAGCAATCAGTGGGTTGCCGTGGCACAGGATGGTATACATAGGCATATATGTACATAAAATATATATTTATACTCACTCTGGTACTTCTCCAAAGCCTTCCAAGGGTTCAGCTTCAGCTGCATATAACTTTGCATACTCTCTCGCAGTATTTTGGACATAGCATTCCTGTATTACAACAGACATGCCGATGGGAATATTGCTCAAAACATTCAACAGATCATCTGTTTGAATCGGAGGGCAGCTTTGGCCCCCAGGCGTGGGTGACCGAGGCCAGGCAGCTCACCTGCAGTGCCAGGCTGTAGTTCTTCTGCAGCAGCTCGTCGCGGCTCTTGGTGCCGTAGGTGAGGGCGCTGTGCACCTTCAGCACGCAGGGGTGGCCGGGGGCGAAGGCGGGCGCCAGCCCCTGCAGCACGCGGCTGCGGAAGGCTCTGCGGTGCATCCCCTCGCCGAAGTGCAGCCCCTCTGTCATTATTGCTCCGTGCAGGGTCCCACCAAAGTAGCTGGAGCTGAGGGGGTCCTCTCTGAACATCAGCTGCATGAATTCGATTTCTTCCACACCTAAAACACAACAGGAATCTCTGCAGGCACGTGGAGGGGTGGGCATGGGACAGCAGGTGCATCTCTCCAGAGAGGAGGGAAAAATGCTCAGTGGAAGCAGAAATTGTGTTCCTGAGGGCTGGGACCCCAAGCAGCTCCTGAGAGGCAGCTGCTTGCCTGTATCTAAAGCCAGCATGGACAAAGGTGGCAGCTCAGGATCATAAGGAGAGAAGCCAGAGTGCAGCCAACAAGTCTGTTACAGATGAAATCAAGGAAGACTCTGGATTTCACCCCTTTAAATGTTCATTGGAATCCAAATGCAAAAAAATTCATAAGGGGGAAAAAGTTAAGCACTGAGAGAAACTAAAACATCCTAACTGCACTTCAAGTGTCTCTAATAATAACATTTCAAGGACCATCAGTAAAGAGGATAAATAGGAGAACAGAACTACACAACAAGGAATTCCTTCCAGCTCTCCCTTGCAGTTACCTCTGGTTTAGCCTCTGTACACTATTGCTTCTCTTCAAAGCACAGAGGAAACACTGCACTGATAAGGCCAGAATTAGAACACTCCTTAATTCCACCTAAAATTCTCTGATTAAAAGTTATACAGTGCTGCTACATGAAAAGTCCTGTCTTTATTTTGCACAAGGAAATAAATGCTTAATTCTAATTCTTCAAGGAATAGAAGGAAAAGTCACCATGCCAACTGAAGACCTGGATCTCTGCAGGCTGTTCAGGAATGACAAGCCCACTGGCAAGGCACTATCTTTAGCTGCAGCACAGGCCACATGCCCGGTGTCACTGAACACCAGTTAACACACAGGGAAAGCATTCCAAAGCTCCATGCCTGCCTTGCTCCTGGATACAGTTACACAGCAGGTGACCTGCAAGAACCCTGTGTTTGTGCCAAAGAGCTGCCAGTGTGTGTATGTGTGTGTCTCTGTATGATGCCATGCAATGCTACTTCACTTTATATTTACCTTCATAACTCTGTAAACTTGACAGACGTTCCAATACTAGGAGGAAGCAAGAAAAAAAAAAAGAATTTTCTAGTAAAAAACTCTGAATGGAAACTGTCATTGTCATTATTATTAATCAAAACTCTAAACTGGGGCTTACCTGCAGCAGTCAGATGAAACTCAGCAGTCACCTTCCCATACATGTTATTCAAGCAGCAGTAATACATCCCCTGGTCTTGGTAACTGGCTTCAGCTATTTCCAGAGACACGGGAGAGTCATCCTGGGCACTGCAACAGAGCATTTTGTGCTATCACATATTTTGCCTGTTTTCACTGGAAAAATTGATAAATTTGATCTTTCTGCACTATTTGTTAAGACACAGCACAATTATTTAGCAGATAATGACATGTATTAATACTACAATTAGTATTGCAATACAACAATCAAAATCAGAAGAGTTAAAACAAGAAGAATCAGAATAGAAAGTTTAAGCAATTCATGCAACTTTTTCTCTCCACTTAAAAGAACATCTAAGAAGAATCCTTCCTACAAAATTTTTCATTTTCTCAGAAGTGAGCATTTTGATGGAAATGTATTTTCTTTCTTTTTTTTTTTTTCTGGATAATCTTAATTTTGCATTTTTAAAGCATTCTAAACAGCTTTTTAAATCAGAATACAGAATTACAAGGAAAATACCAGAATTACAAGGAAAATAACTAATTTCATTAAAATGGAAAGGGTAGATGCTGTTAATGCCCTTAAGAAGATTTTATTTCCACCCTTCTCTAGGTTAAATGAGGTTCAAACCTCTTTGATATTTTTTTTAAATCTGGATGACACTGGCTATGAACAAGCTGAGAGGCGATGCAGCACAAACTGTGAGCAATATCAGTGCACTGTGAGAAGATCTGCCTCCTATGAACAGCGGTTACCCCGAAACTCCCAGTCCTTCAGAAACATTCCCTTACCTTCTCTGCAGCCGAGCCAGCACCTGGGAATCTTTAGTCCATGTAATGGTGGAGTCACCATGAATGTCACCAAACTGACAGCACAGCTTAATACTTCCAGAGCAGTCAGGGAATAACTCTGCTTGGATCTTCTTCAGCAGCCTGGGGGCTTGAAACACAAGAACCACAGTTTAGGATTTGATGATAATTACATTGTTTTGGCATTTTAACATTTCACGTTAAGAACACAAATGCTGAAATCCCCGGTAAGTAATTATGACTTCTGGTGTCTCAATACTAATAACTAGTAGAATTTTTTAGCTGATCACAGCCTGGGGAAAAGTCCCAAAAGGTCCTGCCAGCCTGGACCTCTGCTAGGACTTTTCACTGCCTCACAGAACACTCCAGTGTCTTTGCACATGGGCATGGTGCGAGCAGGGGGCTGGAGGGGACTGGGAAAGAAAGGGAATTGACATGGACTTAGAGAAAGGTTTGGGATCAGCCCCGTGATCATTCAAGTGACACATCCCTGCTCGATGTTGCAAGATGTTTTGTTTCCAGCTGTGTTAATTCTGAGCTGTTGCACTCTGAACAAGGTAGCATGGCATGTGCCCCTCAGGGATCCCATTCCTGCAGATTACAGTGTACTGGTGTCACTCCAGTAACACCTAACTCAAAGGGTCAGGCACACTGCCATGGTTTTCCCCATTCCCAGTTCCAGGCCCCATCCAGTCCAGGTCTCCCCACTGGACTAACAGTCCCTGAGTCCTGGGGCATGTGAACCTCGCTGTATCAGGGCTAAAGTGACACAGACAGGACCTGACAGCTCTAGAAATAGAACTAATGGCCCCAGGTTCCTGGCCTGGCCAGCCTTCTCTCCTGCAGCTGAAATAATGCAAAAGAACACTGAGTATATTCCACAGCAACCAAACCAGCCTTCTCATAATGCCAGGGAAAGGGCCACAACTGTCCTCTAGACCACAGACACACTTCAGTGAGACTGAGGCAGAGCAGGAACAGATGAATAAAATTCACTGTTATCTGATGCAGCCTGAATGTTTAAAACATTTTGCAAGTGTAGCCTCAAGCAATGGAAACAGGTCAGGCATTGAAGGAATGTGTCTCTCCTCCCACACATCTGGTTCCCTGGAAAAGGATGCATCTTTGAACAGAGACAAGTCTGGGGTTTTTTTAAATGTGATTAGAAAAAGTAGAAGTCTCATGGGACCACACAGTAATTTGAGCGTGCGAAAAGCTCCACAAATGTGTAGCTTACCTTTAGTCACTGTTCAGTCTTGCTCTGAACTATTAAATCATTTTATGATGTGAACATGAAATGTCATGTCAGAAGGTAAAAAATAAGACCTTGGTCCTTGCAAAGTACCCATAGCAACAACAAATCCCTCATCCGCCCAGGAGTCACAATCCTGCTACAGTGTTTAGCAATCTTCTAGAAACTCTGGCAGCAACCCGGATCTCCTTTCCATTATATGTTTCCTCTGTCAGTTTAGTATTGCTCATTTCATCCGTCATTTTTGCAGCAGGGCAAAGCAATGCAGAACCAGTCAGAAGTCAGCACACAGGACCTCAAAACATTGTTTATCAGTGGTACCCTACTGCTAACAATAACACTTTGCTAGTAATAAATCCTTTGGTAACCAAGAGGGGGGAATTGCAGCTGGGAGCTGCAATGCAGGAGCATAACTGGGAACACAGCCCTGTGGGAACAGAACAAGTAGCGGGCTTGCAGCTGCTATGTGTGTGTAGTTATGTGGTACCATTATGCTGTTCCTCCATGCAAAGTTACTCCAAGAGGCCAATGAGGCAGTGATTATTTTAAATAGGTTACAAAGCTCATGAATTGAATATACTTGCCAGCTGGGAAAAGGGTTCATCTCTGTGGCATGGACACAGCACTCATTACTAAGTGAACAAATCTGGAAATAAAGCTCTATGAGGGCAGGACACCTTTAGTTGACTGAGTCAATCTGAAAGAGGCCTGCAGTGCCTTTCAATAATCTTAATTTTCTACTGTAGCCAGAATGATGGGAAAGGACAGAAAAGAAAAACCATTTTCTCTTACCTTTGCTATCTTTTTTCAAAATGAGTTTCCTTTGCTCTTTTCTATCCTCTTTATGAATCACGCCTCCCTCGCTCTTGCCAGACTTTTTAGCGCAGCTGGTGTCCTTGCTGACACTTCCCCTCTCCTCCAACCTGGGTTTTTTGGACAGAGTTGCTGGTGGTAATTTCTTCTTAGCTCCAGCAGCTACATGCCCGCTCTTTGTTGCGTCCTCTTTACATTTGATGGGCTCAGGCTCTGCAGCAGCCACTGGTATCTGGCAGGATTTTGACCCTTCCTGATTTCTTTGACTTTCTGTGATGACTGGGAATGGATCAAGAGTGGTCCACGCCAAAGAGAATGATGGAGTTCTTCTGCGGGGTGGTTGTTCTTGAAAACGCTGGTTGTTCCCTGAATCAACTGGTGGCAAATTAACCAAACCCCTTACCACACTCTCTTCTGTCCTGACTTCCTCCATTTTATCATACTCAGTGGACTTAACTGAATTCTCACCCTCAGCTATCTTGCTGGAAGGGATCAAGTCAGGACGAGGCTGCTCTGTGTTAATATTCATAATCTGTTTTGGAGCCTGGGAGCCAGTCAAAGTGTGCAAAGGAGCCTTTGCTTCAGCTTCATCTGGGTTATATTCAATAGCTCTTGGAATCTCATGGTCATTTTCACACAAGGCTGCTTCTCCTTTGGTTTCTCCAGGGACCCTCTGGAACAGACCCTTCAATGACTTGCAGGAAATTTCCATTGTAGTTAAATTTCCATTTATTTTGACTCCAGTTTGTATGGATCCAGTTTTTCCCTCATTTCTTGTGGCAGGACACGCCACTGCAGATGCACTGGGAAGGGCCTCTGAGTGGCTTACAGATGTGGGGAAGGGCAGGGTTTTGTTCCCAAGCAGCTGTTGGGAATGCAGCCAATCCTGGGCACCTCCATCCTCCCCACCTGCTGCGCTGTGGTGCTCACTTGGAGCCTCCCTGGGCAGTGGGGCATTGCCTGATGTTACACTTCCAGCTGCATAGGTGGGAGTTTTTGAAGAATCTGTTTTTAACCCTTCATCAGAGCTGAAGGTGCTGTCAACAGAAAATGAATGCTGTTCTGCTGTATTACAAGGGGAAGCTGCAATCTGACTCTCTGAAACCTGACTAACTCCTGAGTCACAGGAAGCTTCAGCCCTGTGTTCCTCAGGTATGCAAATCTCTGTCTGTTCTCCTCCTGGTTTACATGGTTCACAGCTGGGCACTTCTAGATAAAAATCTCTTAAAAATGTCTCCCCAAAAGGGGGAGAGACTGCCCCTTCTTGTTTTGCTATTTCTGGCAGTTGGTCTTTATTTTGGGGTAGATTCTTATGTGCTATGGTTTCGTGAATCTGAATTAAACTAGGCGATTGCATTACATTACTGTATTTCTGTGCATTAGAAACAATTTGAAAATCCTGACAGCCATTATTTTTTGAAAGATGGTAGCCGTCAGAATTAGTGAAATTTGGTGCACTCAAGCCTGAATGATTTTCTTTTTCTTGTAAATTCACTACACCACTTTTATGTACGGACTTAACAGAAGAGTGTTCTGCATGTGTAAACTGGCTGGTATTTTCACTGGGGAAAATGTCTTCCTCTTTAGGGAAATAAGCCAGTTCTCCCCTCACTGGACAGCAGTCTGTAAAATGACAGCCTTCTCCAGGTATAGACTCATTTGTCATGGTTGTGTTGTATTCAGTGTGAAGTAACTGTCCAACTGTCCCATGTGACATATCTGATAAGTCAGCTTTGGGACATGCTAAATTACCACTCTGAGTACTTTGTAACCCTTGAGGAGAATCTGCTTCGCTAGTTTGGGCAGCACTATTAACAGCAGGCTTCCCTTCCCAAGCCACAGTGGATCCATTCCTGCCCGTGGCCATTGGCTTCGGCTCCAAGCACTCCTGGGTGCTTAGGAGGACACTGCTTGCTGAAACACAAATGGATGGTGTTTCCCTGTCATTCCCAGGGCCAGAATTTAGACAGTCACCATCTGTTCCTACCACTTGTGCAAGACAAATGTTTCCTATGGATGCACTCTCACATGCTGCAGCTCTCTGCAGGAGGATATCAGAAACATTGCAGTCAGCCTTCTCAGCTCTGGGGTTATGAGCTGGTTCTGTGATGGGCCCCTGCTCTTCTATCAAATCCACTGGCAAAGGATGATTGGAACAGGTCTCCTGCACAAAGTTCAGTTCTGTGACTTTGATATCTGACAGCCTCGTACCTAAACTTGGGATGCCTCTGTTTTCAAATGGGATTTGATAGTCTGAGTCATCTTCATGAAGAAGTTTCCACAGCTTGTCATGCACTGCAGATATATCAGCATCTCCTTTGCACTCAGGCTCTCCAGATTCCAGGACTGACTTGGGATTAGCTTCAGACACAGCCTCATCGGCTGATTGGCTGCAGAGAATATCTGGGTTACTGCTCTCATGTATGTCAAGCCCAGGCCTCTGCTCTCCCTCCCCTGGCTCATCACACAGCTTTGCAGAAGAGAGAACAGCACACAAGCGTTCCTGTTTATCAGGAAGAGAGTCCATATCCCATAGAGGAGAAGGAGAAATGTTATTCTTTGACATTTTGCCATTCCTAATAATTTCTTGTCTGGGGAAGACCTGTTGGTGACAACCTTCTCCCTTTTCACAAGGAGGACAGTGAAGAGAAGAGGTCTGTAAATCTGCATTCTTCACTTGCAGTGTGTTTTCAGTAGAGAGCTGGCTGGTTCCTGCACTCTCACAAGTGCTGAGGATGCCTTCCCTTTCTGCGCTGGGCTCCATACAGAGGTTCTCACAATTCTGGGTAACACTTTTAATATTAGCACCTTGACTCTTCAAAGAAGGAGAATAGAGCAATATAATTAAAAATTAGAACTACAGCTTGACACACGCCTAAAGACTTGCATTTTTTTTAAACTTTTATTTTTTAATATTTGTCAATAATCACATTACTGACTTGTAATTATCAACATAATGGATTGAAATCAACCTCCTGGGTCTGAGTCTGAAAGTGTTGCTCCTTAGAGAAGGATTTGTACCTCACAGTTTCTCACTGTTTTTTAAGCAGAAATGGTTTTGCAAGGTAATTTTCCTTTGCAAGCAAAGCCCCCATGTTATATTTATATCCCTCTGTTTGTACAAATGGAGTGTAACAAGCAATCCCTAGAATTACAGACTAGAATACAGACTAGAATACAGACTCACTGTCTCTGGGTCTCAGCTCCCTCAAATCCACTACATTTGGGACTGCTTTTACTGTTTATTGTTCTCCAGCAATCCGCCTTAGTGGATTGCCACTTCCCTGTTTCATGCAATGCTGCTCAAATTCCCCTTTCCTAAAATGACACTCCCTTTTAAATGGCACAGCTGCCCTGGAGTGGCTGAAATACCTCAATATCTGTAGTTATTTCAACTGCTTTAGACAGGTGAAACAAAAGACCTGAGCTGTGCTTTATCCTACAGAGTGACAGGCACATCCTGCCAGCCTCCTGCTGTTCCTGCTCAAAAGGCAGAAAAAGAGGAAGAACTATAATATTTTAAAGGCCAGAAAGTGAGTCATCTGCCAACAACACAGAGCAACAGGCTGACCATGCACAGCTGTCAGGAGCCCATGCTCCAAAGCGGTACAGATTTTCTAAGGGATTTTTTCTTGATGTGTCTCCCAGGAAAGACTGGAGCCAACATAAGGCATGGGCAAGAAAATGGGATGTTATATGTCATGCCCACTGAATGAGCAGGGTGGTGTCATGAGCTGCAGTGACTCCACTCAGGACTGCCCTGCTTGCTCTGACACAGAGCTAGAGCTGCTCTGGCACGGCTCAGGCCCGGACCGGTCCCTCGCAGCACCGAGCTCTCATCCCAGCCAGACGCCCAATTACCTGTGTCAGTTCTGCTTCTCTCCTCTTTGGATAACAAAATTCAAAATTGTCTAAAAGTGACAGAAATCTGTCTTGGCAAGGTCAAACCAAGGACCTCTCAGATTTTATGTCAATAGGCTGTTCTGATATGGAAAAAAACAGAATAATGGCTCTGTAACCCAGGAGTAACAGCAGCACCTTGTGCCAAGAGTGCTGAACATTGACCACTGACAGGGACCCAAGGGTGCTGACCACTGGACTCTGACAGGAACAGGGTGCTGGCTGACTGCTAACAGAACCAGATTCTCAATGACACCCAGAAAAGCCTCCTGGCTCTCTGTACACTATGTAACATCACACAGCTGGCACCTTTGGTGTCTTGGACCTATTATTGAGGAAGCTGCTCTGAAGCAGCAGGTAAATAAAGAATTTCACCTGAGGCTAAGCCATGAGGCCGTGAAAGGAGTGAGGAGCCTCGCACTTTAATGGAAGGAGAGTCACTCAGCACAGCAGGTGCTGCACAAGACACACTGCAAAGGTTGTTCCAGTTCGAACTCTCGGTGCCACGGGGAAGTGTAAATCCTTGGGTCATTAGTGCTGTGATCCCGTGGCTGCTCTGTACCCCTCAGCAGACCAGATTCCCACACGGACAGGGAAAATATCGCACCCTTCCAAAGCGGTCAGCTGCGGGGCTTGCTGCGAGCGCCTCCCCTCGCTCCCGCGGAGCAGTCTCACCCGGGGCTCCAGCAAACGCCCCAGGGTACTTCTACAGAAACCCGTGTGCAGCAATAGATTCGCTCTAACCTCTCTTAGATTACACAGGCAGATTTCTGAGGAGTTTCTGGCTTACTATATGGGTGCTGTGAGAAGCTGTCCACGTTTTTCTAGTGCTCCAAAAAAGGGACGAGTATTCAGGCGGGATGCTTTTGCTTGGCTCATTTTCAAGACCACATAATTTTGAAGCTACACCTGAATTTCACTGTCATACACACATGTTTAAAAATAGGGTTTGGTGTGTGCCCAGCTCTCATGCTTTAGTGTACACCAATAGTAATTTTTTATCCAGTGAGGAGTTTTGGCCATGGAAATGCAGACTTACTGACTAGGTACAACAAGACTTTAAGGGGCTGCTCTGAAATTTGTGCCAGGCACCTGACAGCTGCTGTTGGCTAAGAGGCTTCTGGGATTTCAATTATTGCACTGGACTTGGGGAAAAGAAAGCAAACACAGCCTCTGGCAAACCATGGCCATACACCCTCTGTCAGGAAGCTCTGAGAAGGTTAATTCCAGTGAGGGGTATTCCCCATCATAAGGACATCATGTGTTCCTCAGATGGGCTTGGAATTTTATGTACCATAAAACCAGAGAAACCTATGAGCATTTTTCAGGAAGAAGAATTCAGTGATTTCTGACTGCTGAAGACACCCCAGTGGTGAGATTAAAGTCACTCTACTGTGACACTACAGAACTGGGAGATATTTTTCCCAAATGATCAGACAAAGAAAAGCATGTGCAATTTGAAAAAACATTTTTTGTGACAAAGGAATTTTTTTCTGTGCAATTAGCTACACAGCTTCAAGCTAGAAAAACTGGTGACAATATGATTATTCATGATTTAATAGTGTTTATATATCTTGAGTCCTTACAGTGTGAAATAAAAATGATGATTCAATTTTCCTACTTAGGAAAACTGGTAGAGCATCATACCAGTCTCTACAACTGTAGTGATTTCTCCAGTTCATTTTCTACCAACAGCATAAAATATGCAAATACATGGACAGTACCACAGGGGTTTGAACTTTTAACTGGTTTATATGTTTCAACTGTAATATCCAACTCTTTCATTGCTTTATTTTAAAAATCACAGAGCTCCATTCACCTCTGTAACATGAACTCTCTGCATTGAATTCCCTTCGTTGTTACAAAACCAGAGCAAACCCCTGCTGATTTGGTTCGGTTTCCAGCACCATTAGTGGAGGATGGTTTTGTTTCTTGCATACAGATTGAAAAGAAAGTAAATGAAAGCATTCTCTGCTTAAATACCAACAGGTATTTGAGAAACTTTCTGGGTTGAAAGAAGCATTACTTTGCTAAGACCTGTGCAATACCCTCCATATCAGATTTCTCTATCCAGCTGTCCAGAGGCCCATTAGTGCCTCTCACCATTATCAGGCTCACTCTATAATTAGAACAGCTTAGGCTTTACTTGGGCCTTTTCTAAACCCAGATTTCCCTCCCAGCCGTAGCTGTCATTCAGAAGTACATGAATAGTATCTTTCAAAGTAATTTTGATTTTACAGTATTTTGTGACAAGCAGGAATAAATTGCATTGAGTTCAGCAGAGCAGCTCTTTGTGTTAAATGATAAAGATGTTACTTACCCCAAATGAGATGTTCTCATCTGGCACCTGGTTTTGCTCAGACAGCCCCCGAGTCCTTTTCCTTTCCCAGTGACTGTCTTTATCTGCCTCTTCTGTTGGACACAGAGCAGCCTGCATTTGCAGACTCTCTGCTTCCTCGGGAATCTGTGCTGAACAGACACCTTCCTGACTGGGAGACGGAGCTCTGGATTTCCCACCTGCTGCTGCAGCCTGGAAAGACTGTCCTATAGTACTTACATATCTGCAAAGTTCTATAGGGTTTAACAGCTTGAAAAGGTTTCTCCTCAGACTTTCTGTTAAGGTACAGACAGCGTGCTGTGCACTTTCCTCTGGCACATTCCTCCTCCCCTCCTCCAGCAGCAGTGAGCTTTCCCCCAGCACGTCCCCATCAGGGCTGGTTTCTGTCCTTGTCCCCAAAGCCTGATCGGGGCAAGCAGCACCTGTGCCATGGGCAGAGGAATCTACCTGGGCAGGGACAGTGTCCGTGGGCTTTGGTCCGTCCCTTGAGGAACCTGCAGCCGGATGGTCACTTCCATTAGTCTCTTCTTCACTTCTGGGACGTTCATTTCCAGTGGCTGCAGAAGCAACAGGCACTTGATTCTTCTCTTTGTCTTTCAAAATGGCACTTTTATCTCGGTGCTGTCCAACAGTGAGAGTCATCTCTGTCTGCAGAGCTGACTGGCTGTACATAGAGGGGTCTCTCCTTACGTTTACTCCTTTGATTTTTGACTGATGCTCACAGAAGCCAATGGGGGTATCCATAGGCGTAGTGTTATCTGACACTTGGAACACACAAGGCATTTCACTGAGGAAGTAAGCACACCCATCACAGTCCTTACCCAGTTTTAGATCATCTTCATCGCTTTCCAGTAAAAATTCTAATTTCTTTCTCCAGATTTCATCTTCATGCACTGTAAGAACATCTGAACATTCAAAGTACTCCAGGTCATCATCAGAAAAGTCATCACTTACGCTTGTTAGTTTCTCTGAATAAATCTCCAGAACAGCAGCAGAATTTTCAGAGTCATATTTTCCAAAATCAGTGAGATTACCTAGGGAAGTGTCTGCCTGCTCACCCAGCAGGGAATTCCTGCTTAGAGGTCTGCCCAGCCCAGTCCTTTTACATGCCTGGACATCGGCCAGAGCCTGAGGAGATCCAGAGTCCAGTGTGTTAAGGCAACAGTTGCCTGTGTGACAAGTGGTTACATCTGTGGGGTGGGAAGGCACCTGCCTGCTGCAGTATTCTGCCGCTCTTCCAGCAGTGACATCAACCACACCGTTAAAATGGAGCAGGGCATCACTCTCCTCTGACAAATCCCTCAGGCAGGAAAAAGTTGCCTGGGATTTAACTACTTTCTTAATGTCCATGTTGTCTTCTGTGTTAGGCAAGTGTCTTGAGGGATTTCTCAAGTGGAGACAAAATTCCTGCTTTGCTGAGTTTCTCAAGCAGTAAATGAATGATTTTTGAAGAGTCAGAACCTGATGAGATCAACACAGTCTCACCCTCACAGGGGGAACTCTTGCATTGTTCAAAATGTTTCCTATTTTCCTCATTCTACCCTGAAGACTGTCACGAGTTCATTTAGGACAACAACAAATTCTGCACAAGTTTTGTTCTTTGTATGTGGTTCTGGGTCAAGAAAAGTCATTCTAGCTCTCAATGAAGTGTTTCTTTTACTGTGCACCTGCAAGTAAAAGAAACACAAAGCTTAAAATTACTTCTGAAATGGCTATAGGTATTTTCTAAAAGGTGGTCAGTTAACACATATTTGCAAGCACTTTCAAAATAAGAAATCATTATTTAAGACCCAAGATCAGACGTTAAAGCAGTAACCCTAACCCGACTGTCTGTGCAATGACACTTACTGGCAGCACATTGCAAGTGTCTGAGTGATCTGTGCTAGGAGAACAAAACCTTGAGCACACCCACACACGCGTGTGCCACCTCGACAGGGGCTCTGGTACACAGCCTTTCACCTTTTCTAAAGGCAAACAGGAACCTGCAGATAATGTACATTTCCACACAGACACCACTGCTACAGCTACCTGCTGCTTTGGTGGTCACATTGGCACAACAGCAGGCTATTCCTTGGATAGGATCATAGGGACATAAATCTCAAACTCTGTTTGTAGAAATACCCAGAACAACCAGCCTGCTTAGACTTTATAGGGCAATTTCTGTTTAAAGCAATTCTCTTGTGCTCTGGCTTGATATTTGTCATTCCTGTGCTAAAGAACATGAAATGAGGCAGGCTTGCTTCAATTTCCTGCTTATATCAAGTTTTCCCCTCAAGCGGGTGTGCAGTAGCACAGTGGCGTGGCAATGCTGAATTCACATAAAATCCAAGTGAGATACACCAAAAGGCTTGAGCAGGTCACGGCAGGAAATATGCCTGCTTTGGCTCTCGGATCTTCTGTAAACAGATTTTCCATTTTGTACTGATCAGAACCATGGGGAATTTTTATGGTAGCCCTTGAGGCAAATGAAAGACAAGTTCATGCTCAGCAGGGTCTGCTCCTGCCCGAGCTCAGTGCCTGGGAACTGAGATTAAGGGAGAACAAAGCTGGGAGCAGCATGAGAACAGCAGCCTGACAACTGTGCTTGGGTGTGATTGAGGAGAAATACTGAACTGATGCAAACCTGCAACAGTCAGATTAACAAGGCAGCAAGAGACAGATGGAGCTGCCTCACCAGAACCCTTGGATGGCAGGAAGTTATCAGGGTTTGTGAAAAATAATCCATTTCAAATAATATTTAACAAAAGAATGGCTGGGAAAAGCATCAAAATGACTAAAACAATCATCCAACATTTCTGTAAGGCATATATATAATAAAACAAATTCAAGTCAATTTCCAGAAGAGGTTTTTCATTTAAAATTCATACTTTGTCATAATTCCACACTGGCTGTGAAAAGCCTATTCACTCATCATAGTGAAAGTATTGTCTGAAATTCCAATTCTAAATATAAAATTTGACTGTTCAATATTATCTTCCTTGAAATGACATCACTCCCAATTGAACCTTATTTTTATACATTATTAAATATGTTCAGTATTTGATAATTTATTTCAATTGAGATCAAAACAGTTTTGAATTGCACTTTAACATGGAAGGAAAAATATTTAAATTATTTTATATTTTGTAGGTAGTTCTGGTGACAAAGCCACTTCTAGTGATTTCAGAGGGATTATTCCTAATGACAGAAAAAAAAATTAATTAACAAAAAATATAAACTTGATTAAACTTAAAAAGTGGCCATTGAATTTTTTCTCTTGCATCACATTTTTCCTACTTTATTAAATTATTACCAAAACAAAAACCCTCCTGTGAAAAATGACCAGATAATATTATCTTTTGCATTTAAGTATTAGCCTATGCATGCTGTTAGTGATTATAACTATTTAGAAATAGTATCAATTGTAACTGGTTTTAGCGGCATGTTAATGTAATCTATCAGCTAAAGTATGCACTGTGTTGCTCATAGAAATAGTAGGGTTATGAATATAATAGCTATGTATCACTTATGGAAATAATAGTGTGATGAATGTACTGTGTTATAGACCTTAGCAAAACATAAGATGTGGAAAAAAGGCTTTTGTGTAACCAAAACCAGTGCAATGCCATCCACTGACCAACCTGTCCAAGTGATAAGGTAACCATGACACAAACCAGAGCACCGGAGGACAATTAGAGAATACCGTGTTAAAATTAAGGAGGACATACTAAAATCTTATCAGAGGATGTGAAACAGCAGGATGGAGACACAAAAAGAAATAAAATATATTGACCTGACACCCAGCATGTCATGCAGATAAGCTGGAGTATGAAGAAGTCAAACAAAGGAGTTCCCAAAACATCAGAAAGTTCAAAAGAACGTTTGAATAATGCATGAAACACAACAATATGCATGTATCTTATTGACGTAACTGTATAAAGATAACATTGTCTGTATGCCAGCCCCCCCCAGCACTGGAAATATTGTCCTTTTTTATCCTAATACTATTACTATCATTATTATTATTATCATTAAACTTTTAAAAACTGTAAGCAGTGATTTCTGTTTTTCACATTCTTTGTAAGCAATTTTATAATCACAAAAATTATTTCTACAGAAAGCTTATGCATTTTAGCAACTCAGAAGTGACTTTGTGCCTTTCTGTGAGGTTCATGTCCTCTAGAGTCAGTGGGAAAATACCCTTTATGACATCTCTGAAGCATTTTTCTTGTATTTAAGATCTATTCACGGAGTGCTCTGTGTTTTGCGGCCAGGCCCTCCTCAGCCCACACCCTTTTCAGCAGGATTCCCTGCTATCTTTGAGCAGCACTCTCTGTCCCTGACCTTGCTGGCCAGCTCCCGTTATCTATGCAGCCCCAGCCCCGGGCTCGGCCCGTCCCACGCGTTCCCACGGCACGGTGAGCCCCTGGCCAATGCCCCCCCCGATGGAGCTGTGACCCCCAAAGCTCCCCCTCAGAGCAGCCCTGCCAAGGAGCTGCCTCACGCCCACCCAGCCGGAGGAGAGGGAAGGGAGAGGCTGAGCGATATCTCAGCAGAACACCGGGCAATGACACTGATAATGCCACAGTGGCTCACCCTGGGAAACAGCCTTTCATCCGCCAACGCTCTGGGCTGTCCACGCCAAGCTGACAGCACTTCTGGGACACCTGAACCATGAGAGGTTCCATTCCACAGGCTGAACTTTGGAATCTGCAGTTATTCTTTTGCAACATAATTATATCCTATCCTACCCTACCCCATCCCACCCTACCTACTACTACTGTTCTTAGATTCAGCAAAAGCTCTTTCTCCACCTCCCTGAGCATACATTATACATTCCTATACATCACTTTAAGAGATGTTTTACTGGCAAACCACAAATAAATATAATATATTTTGTCAGTATAATTAGACTTCATGTAAGATGAACATGAAATATTTCCAAACCAAACCACCAATAACCAGAGAATTTGTCTTGGTGATGAACAGAAATGATTATATAGTACCCAGATCCAACCAGAAAGCTTGCTGGTATGAACAGCAGGATACAAGAAATATTGATCAAAGGAACAGAAAGCAGCAAAAGTAGAACAGAAACAATTTAAAAAAAAAAGAAAGAAAGAAAGAAAGAAAGAAAGAAAGGAATCTCCACTAACCACAGGATCACAAGATTGACCAACTACAGTACCATATGTATAACAACTACAGTACCATATGTATAACAAAAAACCTGTCACCTGTGAAATTGGAGTGTCCTGCCTAAATGCTGCTATGCTCCAAGGTTAATGCTACTTCCCTTGACATTCTCCCTGGAATGTCCCTCAAATATGTCTTAGCTTTCCTACAGAACTTGGCATATGTTTTATTTAGCTCCTCTAAGAAATCAACAGGTATAACTGCATCCAATCACTATTCCCACCCTGCCAACTGTTTTCTATCTGGGGACATACATATTTTTTTACTCCTCATGCAGGGCAACTCTCAACAGAGGTCTTTTGAAATGTTACATTTTTCTTCTTCCAAAGTAAAACAAAACATAAGAGTTTTCAGTTATACAATTAACACAGACATTACACACCAATTTGTATTTCTTAAATGAGGTATTATATGCCCTGTATGGAAATACATACAATATATTTATGGTCTGGAACATATAACTTTATCTTTCCAGAAAGGTTTCCATGAATGTTTTGCTATGTTTAAATGTTTTTCCTGATATTCTCTATTTAAACTTTTCCTTTAACAGAAATCAAAGATTTCAAAAGTTTTTGGTTCAAAGTTTCATCAACACTGACATTGGGAATCTTTTAAGCTCAGTGTATCTGTAAGTACTAATGGAATCTAGTTCCACATGAAATTTCTGATCCGCCATTCCTGGTCTATACAAGCTTTCTGACTTGGAACACCATAAAAACATTTTCCAAATGTGTTGTGATCATGGTTGCATTCTTAAACTGTTACCTTGTAAAAGTTACAACCTCCGAAAGAACAGAAACCAGAATTCCAGATTCCCTGTAACTTTGTGAACTCCAGTCACCACAGGGCTATAGTAAGGATTCGTACAGCACTGAGCCTACTACAGAGTGTAACATTTGATGGGGTAGTAATGACAACCCATGGGTGCACAGATTTACAATGATGCATTTACTGCTTGTTTCTTCACCTCACAGGAGTTCTGCCTGGTTCAGTTCTGTCTCATATACAAATAACCACATTATTCTTTTCCAAGTCCTTCGAGATACCACAACCAAATGGAACACCTCAAGCAGCATACTTGTCAAAGAGTGCACAGTGTCAGAAACCAAACCACAGAAACGCTGTATTATCAAAACTAGTTATCACACTATTTGTTGGATTAACAAGGTCTAGGTAAGAAAAACATCTGTGAAGTTGTGGCTGTTCAAAAAGCAGATGTCTGGAAAATATGCCCTTGCCAAAAATTCTGTGATACATTGCAGTTTTTCAGCTGCCAATATCCAAGGCTTTTTGACAACATTTTGATTAGTGCAGTACCCACTGTAAACAGCCCCACACTATAAAAACACCTCAGCCATAATTCATCAGCTAAATAGAATAATAAATGACTGGCTCTGCACAGGTCAAACAAACACCTTAATATAGAGTAATTAAAATAAGCAATCACAGCACAACTCTTAACACTGATCTGTCTTAATCTATTTTTAACACCTGTCAAGCATCTGACCCTGTCAGACTGAGCAATTCAGAAGCCTGGGAATCGTCTATTACTACCAAGTGACCAGACCTTTTTCTCAAGAATGGAGGAACTTTTTATCTAATGAGTATTAAACCATGCAGTAAACATTTAGAATTAATAAATTTGTTTTTCAGGATACCTAGTATCACTTACACACTCTTTAGAGAAGGAAGCTTGCTTTTGTACAATTTTTGCCATTTTGTCTTAATGAGACTTGATGGAAATAGTAGCAGAGTGCAGTTTCAGAAACAGTGAGCAGAATTATAAATGCAACATGTTTAGAAAAACCCAAATCTGTCAGGATAAACAAAAATGGCTCTTCTTTAGCAGAAGGAAATAACAAATCCCATTTCCTGGTCAATGGCAGGATAAATCACTATATCCAGGTAGTGCGCAAATCACTATATCTATGTAGCGCATTGGTAATAAAACTAACTTGCTCTTCTGCCTATATTAGACTTTCATGATTCACATCTATTTGCCCACAGGAGAAAAAAAGCAGAAAAATCATTTCACCAAATACCCCGACCCCTCACTTACCCTCGAGCTCTTTGTGGATGTTCTGGGGTAGGCTGGTCCTGGGCTGGGCTTCCCCGCTGGAGACAAAGGAGGCTGAATTTGTGCGCGTTGTTTGGAGCTGCAAGCCAGCCCGACGGTTTCGCTGGTGTTTGGAGTGTGACCTCGGGGTAGGGAGTGTGATCACTGAACAGTTTGACTTTTAAGAGAGACGATTTCATTACATGCAGCAGATGGCCCTTCCTGGGAAAACCTCTGCCAGACAGGGAGTTGGCAGTGAGGAGAGGGCACATCCTACTTCCATAGAAGTCCGTAGGAATTTCCTAATGGCCTCGAGACAGAGGAAGTGTTGGCCTTAGCTTTTCATAACAAAGCACCGGATTGTTTTTTTAAGCACCTGCCTAACTGCTCTCCTAGACCCATTGGGAATTTCTTGCTGGAAGTTAAGCACTGCTGAGCATGAGAAAATCCACAGTGCCTACCTAACAAGCAGGCTGAGGAAATCAAAGGTGGACAGTGAACTTTTCATGATCTCTACACAGAAATTCACCTAATGATTCTCATCCCTCAAAGGCAAATAAGCAAATCCTGAAGTAAGAAACTATTCCACTCTTGGTACCCAAGGAGACAAGTCTCACACATGGCAAATTGGAATGAATTGCACAAACTGCCCTGAGCTCAAGGGATCTGGAAAAGGCTGAAAAGCAACTTTTTGTGCCAAGTTTTTTCTTAAGCATTTTGAAGGACATGCAGCTAAAAGTGGTTACAAGATACTACTGTGCTAAATATTTCTTGCTCCCAGTGTTATCTATACAGATAGGAAACAGGTCTTTAGCAGTAAATACAGCACTTCCAGCCACACTCATCCAGAAATAGCAATAAGGATATTGAGAGCCTAACAGTCAAAATAACCCCCACAGAAATGAGAGGCAGCCACATTCAAATCGGAACAGTTTGGGTTGGAAGGGACCTTTAAGGGTCATATAGTCCTACACCAACATGGGCAGAAACACCTTCCGCCCCACCAAGTTGCTCCAAGCCTCGTCCAACCTGATCCTGAACACTTCTAATGATGGGGCATCTACCACCTCTCTGAGCTATCTGAATGCTTGATCACTGATTGAAAATGTTCATAAAATTACCTCCTTAGACACTTTGAGTCGACTTCGAACAAGTTGCAATACCAGAGTGTAGGGGAAACAGTATGGGTAAATGAAGGTGGTATAGAATGCAATCTAAAGCCACGTTCGACCTTCTCAGCACCAGCTGGGGACCCTGCAGGAGGTCTCGCCCTCGAAGTCGGATACTCGACACTCACATTTCAACACGGGTACAACCGCACCCGGTCTGTTCCCTCTCGG